ACCTATTTTATTTTTTAATGCAAGTGAAACTGAAATTCTAATTGAAAAACAGTTCCAAATATGCTTAAGGAGCAAAATATAAGGGCCTGTTTGATTATATTCTCACTTTTTCTTAAAAAAACTGTTTTGTAAAACAATTCCACACTACTTAACAGTCAATCTCCCATCCAGAGTGTGTATTCAGTTTTGAAATCATTTTAAAAACCAAAATCTGGGAGATGTTTCCTCATCTGCTTCTGTTTTCTTCACATGTTCTACTCGAGTGCTCAGGAACCAGACATTTAGAAATAGAAAAAAAAATCTGCTGAGAAAAACACTTGCAAACATGCTCTACAGACAGACAAATTTTACAACGAATAAAACTGCTTTATAGTAAACAAATAATGCCTAAGTTTGGTCTTTTACTTTTCTCCTTCTTTTGACACAACAGAAAGAGTTCTGATCAAACATAACGTATAAATGGAAAAAAGTTAGAGAAGAAAAACAAACAAACCTGTTTTAAGTTAATGGATTGAAGATATCCATTAATAACAACTACAGAATACTCAGTCAGTGCCGTCGAAGCAAAATCTTCAATCAAAGTCTTCTTAGATCCAAATCCATACATTAGAAGCCCGAAACCACACCTGAATCATCCATGTAACAAAAAAAATAAATAAATAAGCAAAAAACAAAATTCACTTTTGGAAAAAATAAAACCACATTCAAACGAACCTTAGTGCCAAAAGCCATTCAGGGTACATAGTTTTATAGGAGTCCAATAAGAGAGCGATGTCGTCCCCATGCTTGGGTTGAATTCGCGATGCAGCTTCCCTCAATTCCTGGTAAATTGTGAAATCGGACAGTGATTGGGGAGGATAATAAAGGGGAATGGAACATCATTTTAAGAATTGCAATTATGAGTGATACCTGTTCATCAACTACGTCGATGTCTGTGAGTTTGTGCTTCGATTTTTTGGCCGAGGAAGCAAGCTCCTTCGCCAGAAAATAGTTTCTTGAGAACTCGAACTCTTCGTCCTCGTCCTCGTCCCAACTGCCATTGGTATCCATTCTTCAATCAATGAAGCAAAGGAAACAGTGTTGACGCAAATTTATGATACGGTTTCTTTTTTCTCTATGTTCTTGTACCCTAGACGATTTTCCCGCCATATCCACCGGGTCGGGTTTCCCTAAATCATTGACGGTTCCTATAAACCCGATTTGTGTCTTTAACAAAGCTTTCCGTTTAATTCAAAGAAAAAAAATATAGGCTAACCATGATTTTTTTCAATCGAAACTGCCTCATGATAAATTTAATATTTTTATAATAAATATCTTGAAAATCGTGTTAATTGTAATTTTAGTTAATACTTTTACATTGAAACTATTAAACTATTAAAGTTTTTGTTTTTATTAGAATGACAGGTAAACTGGAACTATTTAACAAAGTTTAATTTATGTGTATTAATGCAAAATTTTAAGAAATTAAATTATCGTTAGATTTAAAATAAATAAATTATCAACGAAATTTTTCTGGATAAATTTTTAAAAAGTTTATTTATGGTTAAATGTGTTTTATCTCTAAAATTTGTTATAACTTTTATGGTTAAATATGTTTTATCTCTAAAATATCACATAGTTTTTGTCTTAGTTTTTCTCTCAAACTTTAATCTATATTCGTTCTTCACTTTTTAGAAAGTTTTAAATTTAATAATTCATGATTAGTTATTTTTTTGACATGATTAACAGTGTACATGTCTTTAAGACACGTGAACAATTAACCTTTCAAATTAAATTGAAATTAGGATTTAGAGTTCAAACGAAGAAGAGACATGTGAGATTTGTCTTATAATCAACGAATACGAGAAGAATTGATTTGTGAAGTTCGTGTTCAAAGACATGGGTTTGATCAACGAAATCATGATTTAACATTCGAAGATTAACGAAGAGGAAAAACTTTAATTTTTGGAGTTCTTCTTGAGAAAGATATGTAAATTCATTCTTTCATCTTTGTGAGAATAGATGGTGGGATTGAGATGTAGGGTTTCAGCATGTAGGGTTTTTCATTGTTGTAAATTATGTGATTAGTTGGTAATTTAATTTGGAAATCATTGTAGTATGATGAAATTCGATAGTAAAGGATTTTGTTCTACGTGGAGGAGCATTGGTTCAAGAGTGTCGCCAACATGTGGGTTATCTTCACAATTAACATCAAAAGTTGGTGGCTATGAGGAAAGATTGTTGTTATTAAAGGAAACTACTTTGAAGAACAAATGAAAATTAGTTTTTTAATGTAGAAATTAGACTGTAAATGAAAAAATGTTGATGAAGTTTTTATTGATGGTTTGTAATTTTTATTGCAGACTAATTCATATAACTACTTTGAATGAATTGATGAAGAAGAATGTGAAATTGAAGCTTTGTAACTAAAGATGAAATTTGTTTTTGAAAAAGGAAAAAATTGTATTAGACCTAACGAAGAAGAACAAGTTGAAGAGGAGATTACAACAATAGAGAAAAGTTGACAAAATTATGTTACTTTCGTTTATTATTTCATGGACATTAATAATTTTTTTGTTATGTTTTTGTTAAATGTTAATCATAATCAGTATTGTAATATTGATTAGTGCAAAGTAATATGGTAGTTTTGGCTTGTACTAGTTATTTTGGTACTTTAGTTTGTTGCTTATTCCAAAAACAATGATGTATTATATGAATTTAAGGATGTTATATGAATTATGCATTTAATTTATTTATTTTTTAAAATTTACGTATTTGAGCACTCTAATTAATCAAGGTTAGGCTAAGAGCTCGTTAGAAGGTTGACAAGACAAACTAATAGGTCAGAAGGGTGGGAATTCATGTTGAGAAGGGTGCAAGATATGTTGAGAGGTGTGCAAGATATGTTAAGAGGTCAACAAGATATGTTGAGAGGTCGGTAAGATATGTTGAGAGGTAAGAAAGACATGTTCAAAGATCGATAAAACATGTTCAGAGATTGACAAGATATGTTTAAAGGTCGACAAGACACGTTGAGAGGTCATCAAGTTGAGAGGTCGACAAGACATGTCAGGAGGTCAGAAAAACATGTTTAGAGGTTGACAAGACATGCTTAAAGGTTGGTAAGACATGTTGAGAAGTCTAGAAGACATGTTCAAAAAAGTCTAGAATACATGTTGAGAGGTCGACATATTGAGCTCTTTTTCAGGCACATTCAATTTTTCTTTCCTGCACAACCTCTTTGTGTCCTACCTCTGCCTCTTCACCCACCACTTCGTCCACTCCACAAAAAATAATGAAGTTAATTACTTTAACGTGACTAGTAACATGTTGAACATATATATCACCTCGTTGTTATTAGATTTTGTATAGTTAACTAAGTATATTGCTTCCCTATCATCACTCAATAGTCTCAAATTGTTATGTAATATTTGTGTCAAACCTTTCCACCAAAGTTTTACATCACCATTATATTTGAACTCTTTAACTATTCCCAATGTTTCAAAGTATGACCATCGATTATGATTGATTCCTTTAACTACATGTATTTTCCCACCAACATATTTCACTCCCTCTTCTTTTTGAACTTGCCCATATGATGGAAAGCGACATTGAACCCCCATTTCGAAACATACATTGTAAATCAGGACTCAAACTTAAACAACCATAATCTTAAACGCACCTACTCAATATTGCACAAAAAATAGAATAAATTCAGAAACTAACCTCACTTGGACAAATCGCGATTTGGTTGATCGAATCAGTCTTTGAACACACAAAACACAAATCCCACAAGAAGCACACTCTTAGTTTTCGTTGATTGTAAGAGGAATCCCACAACTCAACTTGTCTTAATTTTAATTTCAATGTTAAACCTTTATTTCAATCTAATTTTAAACATTAATGATACAAGTTACCACCACTTTCATTTTCCATGTTGATTAGTTAACTATACACATGTTTTAAGGACGTGACACACTATTAGCCATGTCATAAAAAACTAATGGTGTTAGTCATGAATGACTAAATTCGATGCTTTCTAAAATAAGAGAGACGAAAATAAATCAAATTTTTGAGAGATGGAATAAAACAAAAATCACGTAATAGTTTATAAACCAAAAATATATTTAATCTAAATTTTATATACAAGTTTTATTAATAAAGTGTCATATTTTAAAAACAAAAATTTTAGCATTCATTTAAAAAAATTATTTTATAATAAATATCTTGAAAATCATATTATTGAAATTTTAGTTAATATTTTTACATTAAAACTATTAAACTATTAAATTTTTTGTTTTTATTAGAATAATCACTAAATTGGAATTATTTAAAAAAAATTAATTTATGTATATTAATGGAAAATTTTAAAAAATTGACAATGGCTAGGTTTAAAAATAAATAAATTATCAACGAATTTTTAGACAAATTTTAAAAAATCAATCCTGTTTTAGAATCTTTCTTAAGGAAGTTTGCTTTTTTTGTTTGACATATTGTTTAATCCATTATTAAACCAAATCTTTAGTCCACATAAATTATAAAATTTAAAAATGATAAATAACATGTATTTATACCTCAACAAAGTGATATAACAAAATACTAGTCACATCACCTTATTAAGAGAAAAATGTAAAATTATAAGCTTAATTAAAAAATATAAATTTATTAAATATTCAATAAACCATAAAAAAATATTAATAACTCATTTACAAATGTTTAAATTTATAGTAAACTTAAAATATATATAAGTCTAATATTTATTAAAGAATAAAAAAAATCACATCAAAAATGAAATTTTTTAACGAGAATAAGCAATTAAGCCAATATATTTAGTACTTTTCAAGATAAATAGATACATAAATAAGTTTAATTTTGATAAATTATTGATATCAATGATTTTATTTATCGTTGTTTTATTCAATAACAGCAGTTATATTAACACAAATACAATTTTTTTATAGCTAATAATAATTAAAACTAACTTGCTCAAAATAATAAAAAGCATGAAAGAAACAGAACTCCATCAATGTTTTCAGAGAGGCGCACGTTAGCTTGCATGCACAGGAACAACACAGTGCTTTTGAATCGGTGTGCACCTTAGGAGGAGCAGCAGGTCCACCACGAATGTGAGGGGAACCACCGAAATGATTGACTGATCCATCCAATTCCAACCGTTCTCAGACGACAAAGCGTACGTTAGCACCCGACCAGCTCTGTCTTAATGCTCCAGCACCCACAACAAAACTAGGCACCCACGATCTAATTTCATTTTGGGGTCGCAAAATCTTGCCAAAGTTGCAACCTTTTTCTGGTTTTGATTCGGAAAGAGAAAGTGGGCAATGGTGGGATGAGGATAGAAGGGGAACAGAAGAAAAAGAGAAGGAAATGGCGAGAGGGGAGTGGAGGCTTCAACTTCACCAAAGAGGGAACTGGAATTGTTCCTGCACGAAAATAACTCTTCTAGTTTGTTTTTTCAACATTGTTATTGCTCTCTACACTCTTCGCTCTCTCTATGCTTCTCTTTATATCTACTCTGATAGCGTTGCACGAAACAGTAAGTCATGTAAGTCTTTCAGGATGTTTTTCTTTCTGTTTCCCCTAATAACACAAAAAAAGGGTGGAAAAAAAGTTTATTCTTTATGGAAAAAATTTGAACCATCCCTAGAAGGGTCTTTTGTTTGAGAGAGGAAATGTTCAATTTCTTTGTTTTCAAGACTTTTCGTTTTTAATTTGGTTTGCGTTTTCAGTTGCGGTGTATAAGCCAGATCAGGTTCGAAAGATGGAAGAGTCTAACCGAATCAGGAAGGATTACAAACCGGCGGAATTAGTGAAATTGGTATGAAGTATGAACCGTTTTTTTGTACCTGCCATGAGCAAACATTTTTTGTGAAGTTAATCTGAAGTTGATGTTGTGAAATTTACACAAATAGGTGGAGGAATTAGAAGGAGAGTTTTCAAGAGAAAATGTGGTGGTTGAGTTGCCACGGCATTTGAAACAGAAAATAATTGATGAGGTTATGCAGAAACTAGTTAGCTTGAAGGGAAACCACGACAATGTCTCCCACTCCCAGGTCATGGCTAAGGAGCGAGGTGAGTGTTTGCAGATAAGAATTTCTTGTTAGAATAAATGTTGTTGTCATGTGACACAAGAGGAACAGGATCTCAGTAACAGTATCGTTAACATTAGTTTTGTCGTTTTTCTGTCCTTAAAACATTGAGTTTTTTTTATCGCCACTTGCATTTATAACTACTGCATTGTAAAAAGCTCTAGAATTAACTTAAATTTTCTCAGATATGATGCGTTAATAGACGTTTTCTTTTATTGAAATGTTTGTTTCTTGCTGGTTAGTCATATGATATGTATTTTGTTGTTCAATGAGGAAAGTAGATCTTTGGTGTTTCAAATATAAGTTGGACTGTACAAATTTCTTATTGTAAATAATGGTTCAAGTCACAATTAGAAGACATGCTTATTGGAGTTCACATTAATTAAAGGTAAGGCAAATTTACACTATGTAAGTGGTGTAAATTTCACTTTACAAACCAATTTTGTAGAGTTGAGTTAGACTTTTTACTTCTTAATATGATACTAGAACTATCCGAAGCTTAAGATTTGTTCTTTGATGGACATGTCGTGTCATATGCTATCTAGCTGATATTGGGACCAAATTAAATCACACTATTAAAAAAAATTTAGTATTGCTTTGAAACATATGTTCAAACAAAAGTTAAAGATCACCTGGCACAGGTAAAGATTGAGAGATCAACATGTGTATTAGCTATGTAGTGAGAACGTGAAGGAAGGGTGTGACATATTATTTTAGGTTGCTAATATGTTTGGAGTCTCACTTTGTTGAACTATTTGATGTAGTATTTATTTTAGCCTGGAGTCTCTCCACACAATAGATTAGTCTTTGGATTGGGTTTTCTTCTTGTGTTTAATTCCTAACATAGTCAAAGTAGCTAGCTTTAGGATGTTTAGTCAAATCTCTTATCTGGAACTGTTGGTTACTTGTATCTATCATTTCTTTTGGGGGTTGGGAAGTGGAGGATGTAAAGCATTCATAGGAGCAATTATTTTATAGCTTATTGTAGGAGGCCTGTATAACTGTATCTTTTCCTCATACTGTTGCATGTCATGTAGATTTGTACTGATTAATTCATTTAAAAATGATTGTGTTCATGGTCTTGAAGGTGAAAACCTCCCCTTTTGGTTTCCTACTGTATAGCCCTATAGACAACAGCCTCTGGTGTTGGACCAAAAAAAAAAGGAAATCTTTCATTTTGTTGTATTGAGAAGTTTTATATATATATATTTTTCTGAACATGTATATGTTTATATTTTGATTATTTTATTGTATAACTAATAATTTCTTTTACTGTCATATGGTCAAATTCTGCCTTAGAATGGGGTTCATCTTTTGCATTTGAAGGTCATTTTATATCAAGTTGTTGTGTAGATGATAATTTGTACAATGTGGAAGATATTTTAATGCTGACATATTCTTATCATTAACTTGTACAGAAGCAGTTGAAAATTGGCGCAAACAAAAATTGGAAGAAGTTAAGTTGGCTGTTGTCAAAGGGACTTCCAACTCAATCATTCCACATGAAGAGGAAGGTATGAACAAAAATATTATGCTCTGCTTTACAATTTGAATGGGTTGCTGACACATTTATGCGAAGTTTGTCCCTTTACATATTAGCAATGAATGCTTTTCATATCTCTGTATATTTTTTTTTTCAATTTCGTAGGAATGCTAATAAGAGCTTTGGATTCTGATTGGGCTGTGGTTTCTGAAGAAATTGGCCTTTGGATACCTGTTGAGGTTGCTAATGAAGAACATAATGACAAACCTGAGGGTGAGACAGAGATAGGTAATAGCTTGGTAAAAAATTTCCTCCCATCTTTTTGTAATTTTTCTGTCTCCCAGTAATTTTTATACAGTTATAATTCACCACTAAAGTGGTTTAACTGGATTCTATCAACAACTTATCACGCGTGCACTTTGTTAGAATCTGGAAGTGTGTACATATTTTTCCATGCAGAAAGTTAATTTTTGTATGTACTAAGTCCACATTTTGTTCAGAGGAGGAAGTTCTTCCTGGCAGGCCCCTTCCACCTGAATGCAATACTGAACTTCATACGGATTATGGTGGCACCGCCGTGAGATGGGGTCTTACTCATCACAAAGATAGTGCAGCTGATTGCTGTCATGCTTGCTTGGACCAGGCTAAACATGCAAAGGAAAGTGAAAAGAAATGCAATATTTGGGTTTATTGCCCATCACAATATGGGTGTCATTCACCAGATATCTATCAGCACAAATATCAGGAATGCTGGCTCAAATATGTAAGTTGCAACCTATGAATGTGATTCACTACTTTGCTCCTCTTTACAGAATGCTTAATAATAGCCTTTGCTACTTTCTTTTCAGTGGGATCTTACAAAATGCTCTTGAATTTCAAATAGAAGTTTAACTTTTTGCGCACTCAGTAAACTTTTACATAGTTAACCATAATAAATATAAATTTTAAAGTTGTTGATGTTCAACAAAGTCACCTTACATTGCAATTTGTGATTAAATGAAGGTATAAAAATGCTTCGTACTGCACTCATACTGTAATAGTTTTTCATACTAACATTCAATGTACTTGGTATTCTGAACACAGGCTGAGAAACCCAAACTAAATTTTAAAGATAAGTATCCTGAATGGTATCGAAATTCGCACCCAAATGCACCATTGGTGGTTCCATGGGCCTCTGGAATTGTCAGCACATGAGATAAACAATCAAAGTAACATGATCAAATAGAGTGCGGACCTACCTTGTAGATTGCAGACACTCAAAGCTGGCTTTGACATGCTTTGTGGATTGTAGTGTTTGTTCTTCATGTTTATGCCTTTAACATCAATGGTTGAAATGGAAATGAAAGAGTTCCCCCTAATGGTCATTTACATATTTAAGACTTAGTTTCCGCCTCATTGCCAAGGATTTTTCCCTCAAGACCAGTCTAAGACTGAGGTGGGGTGAATTAGATTTGTTTGTTTTAATTCTTAGATAGATTCTTAGATGATGATGTAATGGGATTTGTAACCACAAAGTGTTGGATGATGAGTTGTAGATTCTTGGTCAAATATTTGGTTCCTGTGACAGTGCTGGGAAGTGTTGTTTTCCTGTTGAGTCTTCACCAAAAGGTGAAGCTAACATGCACTAACTGATGAGGAATTTTTGTTGTTGTGAGGTATCTGAAATCATAATTCACTTGTATCTGAGATTTATAATGTTGTTCACGTTGGTGGTGTGATCATCAAAATCCTCTGTCTCTGCTCTGCCTTCAATTTGATCCATTATAATCATAGTTCATGCATGTGAAGATATAAATAGGTATTCCATTTATCAAATATTTTTAGGTGTCTGATTTTTTGAAATTTTTTCTTTTTATTTATTTGTTTGTTACAAATTTCAGGTCACATTAATTTTTTTTTTATCAAATATATTCTTTTATCTTCTACTCTTTAAATAGTTTACAAATATTTATTATATTTCTTGGTTCATAGAAACATTACAAGAATTTTCTTGGTCAGATACTAAAGGGATTTCACTATAAGATTTAGCTCTTTATGTAAGAACTGTGCATTGAAGACTAAATTGTATTTAAAGATCTTGATTACTCTCTTTTGTTCCTTTTTAATTGTTACTTTTTAATAAAAAAGTTGTTTTTATATTTGTCATTTAAAATTTTGTGAAATAATAGTATTATTTTTAATTATAATCAGTTTAATTTACATGGTGAAAGAATTCTTAGTTGTGGTAAGAGATGAAGAAAAATATTATGACACCTAGATGTACATGAAATATGAAAACTAAAGCAAGTATGATAGATTATTAGCTCAAAATTGTATCCGAAAATATTATTCTTTGAATGAAAAAAATCTTAAATAGTTATTATACAGGAATAGATAAAACATTGTAATTAAAATTAATTATTATATAGGAATAGATAAAAACTGATTTTCACTTCTGTATTTATATTTTTTTATAACAATAAAAGAAATATTATTACAATTAAAAAATGATTACTACAATTATTTTAATAAAAAATAGTTAGCATATTATAAAAAAAAATTTAAGAAAATTGTGTATAAACAAAATTTCTTAGGAATATCTTCACAATAAATAATTTCAGACCTTTTTAAGCAACATTTTCTCTTTGTTAAATGGTTTCCAATGCAAGAAATCTCAATACTTTCACAATCGTTTGTCTCTTTTTCTCATCTACACTCTAACCGTTTAGCGGATATCGTGGACATGGGTTCTGTGTCGGGTTCGGGTAAGATCCACCACTGGAACGTGTTCGACGGCGTGAAGATAATCGCGGCGACGCCCGAGGCGCTGATGGCGGAGATTGATTCTGCGATCTCGGCTATGGAACACTCACGCGCCACCGCTATGCTCGACGAAGACGAGGGATACGACGCGCGCGTGGCCGACGAGGCCTACAAGGCGGGCTGCGCCGCCCTCGCCGCCGGAAAGCTAGACGAGGCGCTCCGGTCACTGAACCTCTCTCTCGCGAAGTGCCCTCCCGACAAAGCCTCCGCGCTCGCAAAACTCAACTCGCTCATCGCTCTCGCTTCTAACCACCTTCAAGCCTCCTCCAAATGACAACGCGTCGTTTCGTCTCGTCGCGATTCTTGTGAATCTTGAACTGTAAGTTGTTTCGAATTGATCTTGTTTTTCTTTATCAATATTGTGTGCAATATGATTGTGATTGATGATATCTGGTCTTGTTACTTCTAAATTCTAACCGATAGCATCATTGAGAGGAAATGAATTTTTCTAAGAACAAAATATCCCCGTTATCAAAGAGAGACAAGCAACAATGTAAAATTCACCATAAAATTTGCCATAATTTCATCTTAATAACATCGTAGAATGTAGCAATCATGAAAAATCAATGACAAATACAGTGGGAGACACTGTTCTTTAACGTAAAAAAAATAAAGATCATCGCAACATACCTAATACTTTCACATTTAAGTTTGACTCAAACTCAATTTTGCAGAAGAAAAATTGGTTTCAGAAACTCAGTTTGTAAATATAAGTTAAATCCATAATTAAGTTTACAAACTTAGCTTTGGATTAGAGATAATTGTAATGGTTTGTTTGAGCTGATTTTCAGGAGATTACAAAGGATGCTCTGAGGGTTTTCACTCGTGTTACTACTCTTCGTTAATTAGGAGTGACATTTGCAACGAAAGTTAGCTGGCGTATTCATGTTTTAAGAATTATCCCTCCAACAATGAACCCATCCCTTCTCATTTTCACTCCCTTAACTCCCACACCGAAGAAGCTTGCATTTCTCAACCTTCAGCAACTTCACCTTAATTCTTTTGCTCATCTATTTTTTATGGCTCCAAAAGTGAATTTCATAGTTTCTAGTGAATTACATAATCATAAGCATTGTCTCTCCATCTTCCCTCCATCTTCCGGTCAGTCAGGTTTGCGATTGTTCGCCTTCTTCATCTTCATTCGCCCAGTTGTGGGTATTTCATTTTATGGTTTCGTAGAATATTGTTTGCAATTCGTTATTCCCTCTCTCTTTGCTGTTGAAGATGTAGGTTGTAGGGTGTGTTTCTACATTGTGGTGGTTTGTGGCTTGCATTGTTGTTTTCGATGGATATTTTGAGAGGATTTGCAGCGTGTTTGTTTTCGTTGGTGGTGTGTGTACTTCGGTGGTTTCGTTGAGTGGAAAAAGAATTAGGTAATATTTTTTAGAATTATATAGGGTTTCATTTTGATTGATAATAAAAGGTGTAAATGGTCATTTATTTTTCTGAAAATATTTTGAAAATTGTTATGATTTTGAGAACTGGTTTGGAAAATTGTTTAAGTTGAAAATGGATATTTCAAAACAGAGGGAAGGATGACAGTGTTGGAAATAGTAACCTATTTATAAAAAATATAGTTAGATGGGGATGGATTTTTCGTCTGGGATGTTGTTGGTTTGTGTTTTGATAATATTTATGAACACTTCTTTTGAAAACGCACATGGATGTTGAAAGTAAGATAGTTTGGGTGAGCAGTGGTTTCCAATATAATTTTTTCGAAAACCCTTTGGTTTGAATTTGTTAGGAACCAAAACACAGGGTAGGAAGACAATTGAATTATTTTTGTATTAAGTAGTTGGAAATTAAAAGTTAACATTCTTTTGAATTGATAATGTTGTTTTTAAGTGTTGGCAAATGAATACAATTGAAATCATTTAAATGAAGTCTCCTTTATTCTCTCTTGATGAAATTGACTGAGACTAAGCAATGTAATTTGTTTGAACCTGTGTGTTAGTCTAATCTGCAAATGTCAGCCAATACAATTTTAATGTTTTAAATACATATACAAATCTTCTACACAATTAAACATTTTAAAATATTCATTTACCAATACTTAAAACAACATTATCAATTCAAAAGAATGCTAACTATTCATTTTCAACCACTTAACAACGGATTGCAAACAACATTCAACAAATTCACAAACCTGGCTGACCGGGAGAGGAGAGACAATGCAGAGCTTCACGTTTTGGGCTATGCAGTGCGATGAACACGCACAACTTCAATAGAGAATAACAACAATGCCATTTGAGCACCACAATACGATTTAGGGTATTTTAGGCCGAATAGAAACAGTGCAATCCTAACAGCAATACACAGTCTCTTTTTAAAACAAAAATATCTCTTATACTGCAATGAAATTATTGCCCTTTCACTAGAATGTAAACGAGACTCACATTTTCTTAACATATTAATAAATGCATGGTGTCAACAAACTAGGTGTCAATGTAGTGCTACCCTGTTCTAAAAGAACTTCATTCACTTTGTCCATATTATTCTAAAAGAAGTTAAACAACTTTTTTCTACATTATTTTAAAAGAACTTAAGGGTCACCATTTTTACTAATATTATTCTAAAAGAACTCAAGTCTGTGTCTAGGGAAAAAATGTTCAATTTGGAATCTCTTCTACAATTATTGCTTGGAAATAATTAGTCTCACTAAATGGTCAACTATCTTGTTAACATAAGGAGAAAGCATAACACAAACAAAGGAGACAGAATCTTCCATGTAATGAAAAAAAAAGATCAATTGAAAATCTATACTATTATTTGTAAATTTTATCATTTAACAAAAGATACATAAATTTTAATTATCTTTATTGTAATTTTTTATTAATTAATTTTATCTTCTGCTTTTTCTTATAATAACAAATGAATAAATTTATTATTACAATTATAAAAATAAATATAACTAATTGTTATAATTTTGTTAGATAATTTTTATTTATTTTATAGGGTTATTTTTTATTATAAATAATTATTTTAATTTTAAAAAACAGTTAAATTTAGGAAAACGATAAAATAGAAAAAATGATTAAATTTCAAAAAATTGTCCTTAAAAGATAAAATTAATAAGAATTTGTATAAACAATTTTTTTTACATATATTTAAACTACATCATCTTTAAACATAGTAAATTAAATTGTAACATTTTCAATTATAAATAATAATAATAATATAAAAAATTATTTATACCTATGAATAAAGATATCTTTATATGAAGGAGACTTTTTTTTATATACATTTTTCTTTTCATTTTTACCTTTCAAATAAATTTTATTTAAAACTAAAATAAGTACATTCTATTTTACCTTTTAAATGATCTTTAATTCAAATTTAACTATTTTATAAATTAAAATAATGATTTTATTATTTTATCTTTTAAATCATTATTTATTTTACAAAAAAAAAGACATGTTCACTAATTAATATAAAAAAAAATCATTTTACATTCTCTTACTCAGTCTAAAAGATCATATTTTTCATTCGTTTTTCGTTTCTTCTTTCTTTTTTCTCTATTGCATTCATTATCTCTTTTTATATTAATAATCGAAATAAGTAAGGCGTTCCTTACTATTTTTTTTTTCAATGACTCATCAGAACTTTTACTTTTCTCATTTTCTCGAAATTAATCTTTTTGCACTTACAATAGAATCAGTTTTGATGTCATATCATGCGAGTCCACTTAGGGCAAAACGTAGCGATTCTCCTGTCTCTTTCTGGATTATTTTTGCACCAAATAACTTCAGTTGGAAGATTACTATTACCATTTAACTCAAATTTATGAGATATTGCAGTTCCTTTTGTTGGGTGGCACGTCCTGTTAAGCATGACTTTAACTTCAAGTGTTACTTTGAATAAGCACCACTAATACAGAGACAATTAGATAAAAATAAATACAACAAAGTTTGCAAGAAGTCATTGTTTCGACTTGAAGTGGGGTTGATCTTCTTAGATAAGATTTCTGAAAGTAAGAGTCAAGGTATAAAAAGCAAGAAAAAATTCACTTAACCAATTATATGTCTTTTCACAGATATTTGAAATCGATAAAATTTACAAATTATTCGAATGGATAACATTGTTAAAAAATATAATGGACCAAAAAGACTGAAGAGGGTTTGCTACTTGAAGCAGTCAATCATACATTTGAACACTAGGTTGATTTTCTTGCCATTTATTGAAAGTGTTTGTAGCCCATTTAACTTTCCTTTACCTTAAAGAACGGAAAGCTTAGTGGGGGTTTCAGTACCAGGCCACTATCAATGAAGCATATTAATTCGAGTATCAGCACATACAAATTGTTTGTACTATATATCCTCTCATGTGAAAAAGTTGATCAAGTAATTTCAACAATGGGTGGTGTCTTCTACCATGAGGAGCCAGCGAGCCATAACAAGAGATGCAAATTCCTTGCAGGGACTCTGAAAGAAGTATTTATCCACTGTCAAACTTTTAGCCGGAGGCTTTCAACTGCAAGCCTTGAGGAGGAGTGCCCCATTATCGATGATGTTGATGAGGTACATGAAGTACCTTCATCAAACCCTTTTGAAAAGTTCTTGAGTGAGCATTTCAAAATTTATTTTAGAGCGACATGATTACATATTTTAGACACTAGTAATACAATTCTTCACGAAGTCTTTTATCTGCTAAGTTGTTTCAGCTCAATCAATTCTGAACTCAGAATCATTTCTTGTATATGAAACCAAACATGTGAACATTTGTGTAAAACCCCGTTAGTTGATATTTCAACATGATTTTGGATCGCCTGAAATGAATCCAAACATGTTAATAAGGTGAATTCCGTGTTGAACTATGAAGTAATCTGAGTTGTTCTCACTGTTCTGTTGTGTACTGTTTTCTCAGATGGTTGTTTCGGCAGTGAGAAGCCGAGCTATGGAGAAACAAAAGCTCAAGCCAAGCCCATTGAGAGATGGCTTTTCCTGGACATATTCTCGCGCAACAAGGGAACTGTTTGTCACAATGGCACCACAACCAAGGATGGTGATAGGGGATGGAGAACATGATGAAAGAGAAGAGTTTTTTTCCGTTAAAAGTTGCCTGTCATGCTGTTCTCCGAGTGTTGTGAGTGACCAGGCATTTTTTTCTGTGAAGACTAACCTATCTAGATGTTCAAGCATGAGTGGGGTTGACATGTCAGAGCATTGGAGGCGTTCAATAATTCAAGAGTTTTGCCACTGCGAAGGATGGCCATTTGGGCTGTGCCGTAAAGCTGTGTTACTTCCACCACTGCCTAAGTCACCATCTGAGTCATGGTTGTCACGCAAAATACAAACAAGTACCAAAGTTATCTGAGTTTGTTTTACTTTATCTGTCTTCTCAGTTCCAGTTATCTCTTGTGGACTTGTGAGAGAAGTTGGTGGAAGATTCTGGAATAATGGATGTATGGCTCAAGCTTCATATATAGACTACATTTAGTTTTAAGATATACGTGAAATGAGATAAACAAACTGTTGCACAATTGCGTAACCCTCGATTGCTTAATCTGACAAAAATGACGCGATCTTTGATAGCATACTAGTTGAACCGACCAGATTTAGATGTGAACTATCCGTTCATTCAATCAGATCAGTTTATTAAAAGAATATCATTCTCTGTTTGGCTATTTTAATCTTTTTTCTCTGATGTAGACACAACTCCTTAATATGTCCATTGCAATCTCGGTTTATAGAGGGTCTTCCACTTGATGATAATTAAGAACAGTCCTTCATGCATATGGTGTCTCCCAATCTTTAATGAATACGCATTTCAGTAAACTACTATAGCTGCTTAGAAGCAAAATTTTGTGTATCTCAATGTATTTTAATCGATAGTATAAATAATGAACAAGTGTTGCTAGCTTTTCCTGTTCTGTTCTGTATGTTCTTGCAAACTAGATGCATATACAAATGAGTAGTTAACTTCTTGACTTGTCATTTACTTGTTAACTTAAGGAAAATGACATTCAAAACGAAATAAAACGCTGTTTAAGGATAATACGAGTTAACAAAGTTAAGCGCTCTTATTTCTATGCTATCAAACGCTTGACAACAAAGGTTAGGAGAAAACCAATGGAAGGGTCTACGGACATCAAAAGCAAGAAAGGCAACACGAACAAACAATTACATGCTCTGTTTCTTGAATATTTCTTCTAAGCTCTTTGCTCAACATATGAACCCGCAAGTCCAGAAGTTCCAAGAACAGTAACCTGCAACAGTAAGCTCAGATTAGATAAGGGAATGGGAATAGGTCTGCAATTTTGAATGTAGCTATTTGCCATGGAAGTAATTGAACAAAGACTACCGCGAATGCTAAAAGTACTAACCGGTCACGGCGGGAAAGAGATAAAAAGAAGCAAAGTTGAAAAAAAAAACACAATTGACTGATCACAACAAATTTCCTAACATTTTTTCTTCTTTTTTAGTTATTTTCTGAAGGCATGTCCATGCTACTTACATTTTTCTTACTAATAACCATATAGGATATACTACCGAGTAAAAAAAGCATGGAGGAATTTAAGAAAACAGATGCAAAAAGTTAAAATAACATTCCAGCAAACAAGAACAACAACATTTGACAACACATTTTAAAAAATCTAAAGAACTAAACTATGTTGCAACTTGCAAGTGCACACAAAAACTGTAAATCAGAGTTTTTCTACCACGATGGTTTTGGGGATCCCTCGTCATAAAATTCCAATGGTGTTAGCATCTTCAAATGACAGTGCCATGGTGTCGGTCACAGGAAATGACAGATGCCAATTATCATGAAAGTGGCAGATTTTGAGTATATCTCACCTCATATTCCTCATTCAATGAATGGAAATACAATTTTATGCGCAGGTCATGTGAGAAAAAAAGAGAGAAGCAGTGCAAATCCCATTGGCTACCATGCACAAACTACTACATAAATAGGCAATAACAAGTGAAAATGTAAGATGATACCTTTCCCCAGTCAGCAGCAAGGCCACTGCATCTCATCTTTAAGTGAATCATGCTTGAGCCCAACTCTACCTCCACCTTTTTCCGCAGATAACTCTCGTCCGGTCCAAAGGAATTCAAATAGGTGGAGTAACGATCAAAAATGAGATTAAGAGCACTTTTTATATGCGTAGGCAATGGCTTTACATCCTGCAAAAAGAAATCCAATCATCAGCAGCCAAATGTGATGGGTAAATTTAAATAGAATGCAATAGTGCAACTTTTTACAGGTACAAGTTTAAACGAGAAATACCTCGCCACTCACTCCAATACTGTCATCAAGTTCCAGTTTCAAGCTGACTAGAATCCCACCAAACTCCTCAACAGCTTGAGCTGCCCGGAACACATTCTCCACAACCTCCTTGCCAGCCTTGTCATCAGTGTTTCTAGACAACACATTCTTAACGTTAGAAACAACAGAATCCGGAAGCTCACTCCAATTTACAGCCAACAAATCCTTGAAAACATTGTAAAGTTCAGGGTCTTTAATATTGGGCAGGTGAGTCACATCTTCGCTAAAGAATCTCATGCTCCCTAAACCCATCGAGAAAGGAGACCTGCATTCTGTGTATGTTTTTCCAAGCAAAACCAATTCAGCATACAACAGCCATCCTCAAACATAACGCTCTAACTCAATCAACAAAAATTCTATTTCCATAAATTTACAGAAGAATAAAATAACAAGACAAAATAAACTGATCTTCTCTCATCAGTTTAAAACTAATTTATGCACAGTCTAATTTACAACATATTCTCATTCAGTTTCTCCAAAATTTGATTTATCTTATGCAAAACCAATTTAAACCCATAAGAGAAACTTAACCAGTTCATTTTCTCTTCTTATTTTCTTTTCCAGCATCTTCTAAATGAGAGGTTCACCAAACAAACCAAAGTCTCAAAAAAAACGTCAAAGAGTGAACCAGATACAACATTTTGTTTTCTTTAATGAAGCTGTGATCTGAATAACCAATTTCATCATGAAAAGAAAACGGTGGCACTAGCAAAACGAAAATCATTGCCAATATTTTAACCAGGATACAAAGCCGGTACTATAACAACGAATTGATCCAATTGTGGAGTCAGATACGAATCGAAGTATCGAAAATCACGGACACATAATATTCCAGTCGCAATAAACGGAAGACGAACACTATTACACTAGCTTATTGTCCGTATAAGCTTCATCTACCAGTACATTGAAATTGAATCAGATTAATTCAATTTAATAAAAACCCGATCCAATTGTGCGTGATAAAGTGCGAACGACGTCGGATTAGTGAGAAAAGCGATGCGGAAGGAAAACCTAACAGAATATAGAAGAGGAAACGGTAGGAGAGAAAAAGTACCTGAGGAAGAGGGAGAAGGAAAGGGATTGGGAGAAGGAGAGAGAAGAGACGTTGAACGAAGGATATGGTTGGTGGAAGAAAAAGCGTGATAAGATCTGAGACTCATTGATCGGAACAGTGATCTCAGTCGCATCATTTTCTCCATCTTCCTTCTTTCTTTCTTCCTTTCTTCAGTTCACAGTTCAAAGCCTGCAATAGGGAAAACTCAGAACACGCACGCGACCTACCAACACTAACACAACAACACAACAACACAACAAAACTTCTGCAACTCTTTCCTTTTCGCCACCCCATTTTTCGTTAGTGGAAAAGTATTTATATTATCAGTTAATTTTAGACTATGCAAGTATAATTTAGTATAAAAATATGTTTCTATGGAAAATCCTTCACATTTTAGCATAAACTTACAAATTTAAATAGTAAGCTTTTACTATATTAAAAATTACTATCATCTAACTTAATAAATTTTTCAACGATGATGGATTAGATATGAGTTTTGTAATTAAAAAAAATAGTATATTGAGGACTTCAACACAAGCTAAATTTTAATGTAATTTATTCTATATATTTAGAGTTACATTAAGAAAAATTGGACACCAAAACACTTAATTAAAAAAACACAAACACAATACTATGAATCAATCACATTTTTACTATACTATGTTAAAAAAAATTACACTAATTTACGTTCATAAGATAACTGTCTAGTTGTTTACTTGTCACCATTAAGTGAATTTACTATTCTTCAATTTCTACAAACACCTATAAAAAAAATGATATAATACAATATTTAGAATTCTATAATATCTATACTACCCTCTTGTAAAACTCTATCATAAGTTTTTTTACAACCATAGTAAACAGTTTAACATAAAATTTTCTGAAGATTGTGACAACACTTTGAAACTGTAGAAAGATATTAAAATTTTTAAGGTGAGAAAATCAAGCTATGTATTAATGACATGGTTTTTTCATTAAAAACAGATATTTTTCAAAAATAAAAAAATTTAATTTTGAAAATTTTTCATGTATGTTAAACTTTGAATTATATCATATTTTAAAAAAATAGTAAGAAAAGTAAATGTGTAGATATTATAGTTTTAGCTAATTAAAAACAATTTTAATTAGTTAAAACAAAGTTTAGAAAGTTGCACAGTTTTTTTAGTTGATCAAAATAATGTTTTGACAAACTAAAGTCATGTAAAAATTAGTAATTTTAGTCAATTAAGAAAAGTTAATTTATAAAAGTAATATAAATTGCAAATCCATCAAGTTTAACAACATTAAAGTACTTTTTAATCAACTAAAATTGAATAAAAGTTCGAACGAAAACACATGATATGAAAATTTGAATATGAGTAAAAATGTTGTACTTGGATATTAGAATACGAAGAACATAACGAAGGAAGACACGTGATATGAAATTTTGCATGATGAAACCTTATCGTAATGGTAAAAGAAATAGCCACAAAACATAAGTGGAGGCTGATAGTTCTCCATGTAGTTATCTATCTTCATTAGTTTTTCTCTCTCTCGATCATTCACTCCAATGGACAACAGCGACACTAACACACCGACCACCGCAGAGGCAGAAGTAGCACACGATTTCCCCGGTCTCATCCGTGTCTTCACTGACGGTCGCATCCAACGTTTCAAAGGAACCGACGTCGTTCCACCCTCCACCCCCACCACTCACCCCGTCTCCTCCAAAGACGTCAATCTCAACCCTCATTCCACTCTCTCCGCTCGCCTCTTCCTCCCGACACCTCCATCCACCACCACCAACCACCGCCGCCGCCTCCCTCTCTTGGTCTATTTCCACGGCGGTGGCTTCTGTACCTCCTCCCCCTTCACCTCAACCTACCACCACTACATCGCAGCTGTCGCTGCCGAAGCCAAGCTCGTCGCAGTCTCCGTTCAGTACAGGCTGGCCCCGGAGCACCCTATTCCGGCAGCGTATGAGGATTCATGGGCTGCACTGCAGTGGGTCGCGTCACATCGCAGTAACGCTGGACCAGAACCTTGGTTGAATGAAAATGTAGACTTCGGAAGAGTGTTCTTGGCCGGGGACAGTGCCGGTGCCAACATAGTGCATAA